TGCCCGCAACCAATGTACATGCCCTTTGACCGGAATCGAACCTGGGACCTTTCAGTCTGCAGGCTGACGCTCTAGCCACTGAGCCAAACCAGTCCCGGCACCCCACTTCTTAAGTTATTCTTATCACAAGAAAATAATGTATATACCTGTTTAAGCAAGTCTCCTGCCCCCCACCCGCCCAGATTCCTGGCCTCCACTCCCCGGAGGTGCCTGCCGTCCAAGGTTTCAGAGAGTCGGTCACAGAATTCTCCGTGCAAATGTGCCAATAGCCACGTGCTATACAGTCCATACCTGCTCCTCATCCAGACTCCTCACTGTCACCAGGGAAGGACCCGGGGTCTCGCCTATACGCCAGGGCTGGGCTCAGGGTGCGCTTGTGGGTGACGGTGGCCAGTGCAGGCCCAGGCCAGGAGGGGCACAGCGAGCACACAGCACATACACAAACGTCCTGCAGGCTCCGCGGTGGCCGCAGGGCAGGGGCCGTGGGCGCAGACGTCCCCACGTGTCTGTGCAGCTGCCTGCTCACGAGCGGGGGAAGCCGCCTCCACGGCCTCTGCGGTGGCCCCCGGGCTCTGCAGGCGCTGCCCTCAGCCCCTTCGCTCCCCCTCCCAGAGGGTCCTCGGGGGCTAAGGCTCTGGGGCGTTGCGCTGAGGGGGACAGGGGTTCCACTCTAAGACGCTGCAGATCGCCATCCTTTCCCAGAGACGGCCAGAGGAGATGGTGGGACCACATCGTAACCCCCACGGGGGGATGGCCTGTCGGAGGGATGAATGGAGGGAGGAGGCCGGTCCATAGGGGTGGGTGGAGGGAAGAGGGGACAGGGTGCTCCTGGGGCTCCAGCCAAACTCCAGGAGGTCACCCCTAAGCTCTTTAAAACACACAAAGGGCCCCGCTGGCGTGGCTCAGTGGTTGAGTAGTGACCTATGGACCAGGAGGTCACGATTTGATTCCTGGTCAGAGCAGCATGCCCAGGTTGCCAGCTCAATCCCAGTATGAGGTCTACAGGAGGCAGCCGATCGATGATTCTCTCTCATTACTGATGTTTCTATCTCTCTCTCTCCCTCTCCCTTCCTCTCTGAAATCAGTAAGAATATGTTTATAAAACAACAATGAACGTACAAAGATGCAGAGATGCACAGGGAGGCGGTCACTGCCTTGGGGGCCACACGCTCCTGCTCACCCTGCTCCCGCCCTCGGGGGACCCTGCTCTCCCGCAGGGTCTGAGAGGACACATGGGCACTGTCTCCACACTCACACCACAGGCTCCCCGGCAGACTGGCGCTGAGAGGCTGCATCTGCCCAGCCGACACCCTGGATCTGGGCACAGCCCCACCCCAGGTCCTGTGAACAGGTGAGAGCCCCCTCCCCAGGGGACAGTCAGCCAGTCACACCGGACCGGACGGGAGGGGCGGGGAGGGGCGGAAGGAGGTGATGGCAGAAGCCCAGCCACATGCTGGCTCCTGCCGATGACATCACCACACGACCACGGAGGGTCACAGCCCAAGGCCCCCGGCGGGGACCCCCGGCCCTGGAGCGGCATTCCATGGGACACGTCCAGAGCCAGGGCGGGCTGGGGTGGGTCTGACAGAGGGGCAAGCAGGACCTTGCCGAGCACGTCAGGAAGACCTGAGCAGGGCCTGGGTCCCTGGAGGAAACCACAGGCTTCCTGCTGTAGCAGACCGTCTGTTCATGACAAGCTGCCCCCCCCCCGTCCCCCCCCCCCCCACACACACACACGCACACGCACACGCACACACTGTCGAAGGCGATTTTACTGAGACTCCATTTTGGCTGGTGTCTCTGCGTTGTGTCTACAAGAACCAGAGGCCTCACCCCGGGGAGGCCAGCGCCCTGTGCCGGGCAGCGTGTGCGCGGGGAGAGGTCATGATGGAGCTGAGAAGCCGCAGCCTCTGGCGCTCGGACTGCAGGTCCCCAGGAGACAGCGCCACGGAGACCCAGGGCCCTGCCTGGGAGCCCCTGAGCACAGCCTGGGGAGGAGGGGGAGCCTGGGCCACCGCCTCAGGGCCACTCAGGCCTCCCCACCCCTGAAGGCCAGTTAGTGTCCTGGGTCCCCTGTGGGGGTGGCTAATGACCAGAGGGTGTGGGGTGCCGGTTCTCTGGTGTAAAGGGGCACCGGCTGCTCTTGAGGGGTCAGAGCGCAGAGCAGCTTCCTGGCCTCCGACCAGCACCTGCTGGCGGCAGTGATCCCAGCGTGTCCTCGCTCAGAAAGCTGCCGGCCACCCACAGGCCACACGCTCCCCAGGCTGCTGCCCGCCGAGCATTCTCCAACCTCGAGGCGTGGGCAGCGTGTGTTGGGACCCTTCTCTAACTAGTGACAGCATCGCCTCGCTTACAAACGCATCAGCACGGGATTGCTGCCCCTCCCGGGGTCCAGGCGCGGGCCCTGCCCCAGGGGAGGCTGCGGCCTGGGCTGTGGCCAGCCTGCGGGGACCAGCGCCGGCGCCTCCTCGGGCCGCAGTGTGCGCCTGCAGGTGCGTCAGCCGGTGGGATCTCCGTCTCCTGAGCAAGCCCTGGGCCTCCGCCCCGGTCCAGACCGCACTGCCCCACCGACCGCGAGATTGGCGGTGCGCACCCCGTCCCGGATTCTGCGCCTGCACGTGCGGCTGCAGCCACTGTGAGGCACTGTCTCCCCCGAACACCGGACCCGTCTGTCCGAGGGGCCAAGAAGACGGGGGGGGGGGGGGGGGGGGGGGGGGGCCGAGGTGTGCCGCGTGGGGGTGGCTGGAGGCGGGAGCACAGGAGCCGGGCAGGACCCCAGCTGCGGCCCTGCAGCCCGGGCAGAGGAGGCGGGGTGTGTGTGTGTGTGTGTGTGTGTGTGTGTGTGTGTGTGTCCAGTTTTCAGCTCTGAGGACACTCGGCCTTGGCTGCCTGTTCGACTCGGGGGCCGGACCAGGAGAAGTCTGCCCGGGAGGTGACAGATGAGGTTCCTGTGGTGCCGGTGGGAGCTCCTGATTCGAACGCGGGATTCGGGAAGCTCGGGGGACATCGGAGTTAAAGCATCGACCGAGGGGCCAAAGGCGTTCTCCCCGGTCCCCTCCTTCGCCCCGGTGTTCAGGGTCCACAAGTGACACACGCTCAGGATAAACTCCCACGAGAGGCTTAAAAAGGAGAAACAGCTGCCTGCAGTTGTGCTGCCCTCCCAGAAGCTTACCCAGTGTATTCCTCGCAGACCCTCCCTCAGACTCCCTCCGCCTGCATGCCAGCACCAGGGTCTGCACACACGCTGCTTTTCCAAAGCCTCAGCTATGAGGCTTTTGGGGTTGGCCATGGGGAGAAGGCCGTCTTGCCTGGCCCGTGTGGCTCAGTGGCTGGGCGTCGACCCAGGAGCCAAGAGTTCGAGGGTCCATTCCCATCGGGCACTTGCCGGGGCTTTGGGCTCGATGCCCAGAAGGAGGCAGCAACTGATGATGTTTCTCTCACCACTGATGTTTCCGTCTCTCCTTCTCTCTCTAAAGCATCAATAAAAGTATTTTGAGAGAGAGAGAGAGAGAGGGAGGGAGGGAGGGAGAGAGAGGGCTCTGTCCCTGCCGGTGATCTCTCGGAGAGCCAGCGGCTCCGGACGAGGCGAGAGGGACGAGTGCCCAGCAGTGAGCGGAGCAGCCGGCTCCGGGGCCGAGGCCAGGCTGAAGGCGGGTCGTCTTTCCGGCACTGGCACCGGGCTGACGCCAGGGCGGCCACCGGCTCTATAAGAGGAAGTGACCGGAGCCACCCAGCAGCCGGGACGGAGACGCACCCGAGGGCGCCCGCCGCCAGGAGGCCCCGGTTTGGGTGGGAAGCGACTGAAACGTAAGCTCTGTCCGAGGGGAACGCCACGTCGCTTATAACCTTCCCCTCGCAGGTTTGTGGCGGGAATGCTGTGGCGGAGAAGCCTGGGCGCTCACCTGTCCAGGGCTCCCCCGCCTGCGGCTGTCTCCTCGCTGACCCCCCCCCCCCCAGCGCTCCGGGTCCCCTTGCCTGTGGGTTCCCGCCGAGGGGCTGCCGGGGCTGAGCCAGGAGCAGCTGGTCTCGGCTCCGTTTCCACTCGGTTTCAATGAACCCATGTCTCCGGGGCGGGGGGTCCTGCCCAGACGCTAGCATGGGTCCGAGAGTCCCCCCACCTCCCCTCCCAGCATGGTCCCAGCCGGTCCCCTCCCTCTAATCCTCGCAGCACAGGTGTGTGTGTTCAGCGCCCCCCGGGGGGCTGGGAGGAGGGGGCGGCCACACCTGGCCGTCGCACCTGCGTCCAGGGCTGAGGATCCGGTCACCGGGACGCCGGCTTGGTCGCACAGCCCATTTCCGAGATGCTCCCAGCCCCGCTCAACACGGCCGGCCGGTCCCACACTTCCCCTGCCTCCCCAAACGGGGCGACTGCCCCTGAGCTTCCCATGCTCGGCAGACGGGCCGGGAGGGCAGTCCGCCGAGCAGCAGGGCAGCGCCCAGTCCGCCCCTGAGCCCTGAAGGTCGGAGGTCACGCCCAGGGCGGGGCTCAGGCGGCTGCAGAGGGCAGGCACCTCCTTCACTCGAGAACCCAGGGCCTCAGGCCCTGGACGGACGGTGGCCCTGGGTCCCCCCCCCCGCCCCCCATCACCTCTTCCAAAAGCACAGGGGTGTCCACGGGGCCAGGCCAGGCAGGTGCCCACGCGGGGCAGGTGGCGGGGACAGCCTGCCCCCGGGCCCCGATGCGGCACCAACAGGGGTACGTTCTCTGCAGAGCAGCTGCCAGAGCAGGCCCTTCAGGACAGACGGTCTTGTAGGTTCTGCGTTTGTGTTCTCAGGTCATGTCGTGCAAAAAGACAGGTGGGAGGTGATTGTCAGTCAGTCAGCCTCACTTTACCACATTCTATCAGATACACAGCTGGGGGCCAGCATGCCGGGCACAGGCCGACGTTCGGGGCTGAGCCTGCATCCTTCCTGTTCACCTGCTGGCTCTCCTGGCTCCCCATGCTCTCAGAACACAGCACAAAACCGCTGAGTCTTGTAAATGTCGCCTCTTCCAGAAAATGAGTAAAGGCTACCCTTCGAAGTGCCGAGGACGGGTGGCCTCTGACGCAGAGGAGCTGAAGGTGTTCTGGGAGGAGAAAATCCGGCGCCACGCGCGGCAGCGGCAGAGAGAGGAGGAGCGGGTCCGCGGGAGCGCCCTGGACAGGTGTGTGTGTGTGGGGGGCGCTGGGTGGTCCACAGCAGAGCTGACCCCTGGGCTCAGGCTCAGAGCTCAGGCACTCGGCCTCCCGCCCACCCCCACCTCCCACCCAGCAGCAGCACTGCACTCCCAGATCTGTCATACATGCCCTCAGCTACTAATCACAATCTGCGTAAGTGGGAGAGAGGAACACCCCAGGGTGCCATCCCCCTTTCCCCCATCCCACACTCCACACCCCATCCCTCAATCACTCCATCCCCCATCCCTCCATCCCACACTCCACACCCCATCCCTCAATCACCCCACCCCTCCATCCCACACTCCACACCCCATCCCTCAATCACTCCATCCCTCTTTCCTCCATCCCACACTCCACACCCCATCCCTCAATCACTCCATCCCCATCCCTCCATCCCACACTCCACACCCCATCCCTCAATCACTCCATCCCCCATCCCTCCATCCCACACTCCACACCCCACCCCTCCATCCCACACGCCACACCCCAACCCTATGCTCTCGCACTCCTGAGCATGTGTGGGATTGTCATGGAGGCGTGTCCTGCTTTACCTGATATTCTCACAATCACTCCCACTGAGTGTGTTCATCCCACCCCTCCCCGCACACTCGCAGGCCCGCAGATCCAAACAATCCCTTTCTCTCCGCAGCCAAGTCCGTGACCTTGCTGCCCAGGGGCCTCCCAAGCAGAGCCAGGGCGTCTGATCTCAGGGACAGCTAAGAGGGCAGATTAGCACATAGTTCACACCTCGACCAGGCCTCCCATGGCCAGGATACCAAAGCGCCACCACCTCTCCCTCAAATAGCACCGGAGCCTGCCCTGGGAGAGGCTGGGAGGGAGGATCCTGGTGGCCGCGGACAGAGCTGGACTGACCTTCCCGCTGCCACTGGCCCACCCGCCCCGGCCTGCGGTCCCCGGCCGTGGGCGGGCTCTGCCCTCAGGACATGTGCCCTGGTTAGGCATAGGCAGGGGCCGTGTGCCCTCCCCTCCACATGGGCGGCCCCACCCCAGCTCTCAGGGGGACCTCCCCCTGACGCTCCTCCCAGCTGGGGCTCCTCCTGGGCCTCAGGGCCTTGTCCCCGGCCCCTTCGGCCATCGGGCCCTGGAGCCTTTGGGTCTCTGCCCCGGGGTGCAGGCCCAGGAGTGGGTGGGCTCTGGGTCCAACACTGAGGGTGCATCAGCACCAGCTGGTATGTCACCAGCGTCCTGGGCTAATGGGGATGGGGCTGTGCCTCTCCGGAAAGATGTGGCTGGTTACCAGGACCACAGACCGCAGCCATCACAGGCCTGTCCCCTAGCCATCCTCACAGCAGCCCCTGAGCCGTCCTCACAGCACCCAGCGGCTCCCAGGAGCCTGGTGCAGGGGCAGGAGCGTGACAGTGGTGGGGGCCTGTCCCACGTGGGTACTGCTGTCCTGGTCTAACCACCTGCTGCTCGGAGGTGCCTTCCTTGCTCAGGCCCTTGGGTGCCGGGACACGTGTCTGGGTGCATGCCTTCACCCCAGAGGTCGGCCGGAGCCGAGCACCCATCTCTCCACCACTAAAGCCAGACCACACACTCCCTCAGGCCGAAGGCACCAGGTGGTCATTGTCTGTGGGCCAACACCCAGGGCTGGGGGAGCCTGGCCCTGAAGCCGGACATCCGGGCAGCGGGCCACCCTGTGCTTTGTGCTGTGGTGACCACAGGGTGCTGCCTCCCGAGGTGGTCGGGCGGGGCAGACAGGTGGGTGCAGGGGGAGGGTGCAGGGGAGGAGGCCCAGGCCCGTCCTCATCCGCCATGACCCGGGCCTCACCAAGCAGAGAGTTTAGGATGTGGCTCAGTCCCTCTGGGACTCGGACGTTTCCAGAAGCTACTTGCTGGGGCAAAGTGCTTTCCCTCCGGGCCTAGGGTGTGAGACAGACCCTCCGTGACAGGCATGGCCCGGAGCCTGAAGTGGCCGCCCGCCCGAGGTGGCAGGGTTCTCTGTGACCTCTGCCGGCTGGGGGGGGGCGGGGGGACACAGCCCAGGGAGGGGCAGCTGTGCTCACGCAGGTGCCGGGCTGACAGAGGGGCCCGGGGAGGTGACTCACAGTGAAACTCCGCGTCCCAGGCTCCGTGGAGAATGGGCTCAGAAGCTGGGGCTGCGGCACAGGGCGCTGCAGGCTCCCCAGGAGGCCGCCCCGCGCTCCTCCGGAGACAAGGCCGCAGCCTGAGTCCCGTGTGGAGCGGAGACACACGCAGCCACGTGAGTTCCCCCGAGAGGGCCCCCGCGAGGGGCACCACCCACAGAGCCACGGCGCCCACAGCCAAGCTTCCCGCGTGCTCCGCTCGGCCGCCTGCCGTGGAACGCCGCTGGTCTTGCTTTTCCAGCAGAGCAGGTGCCCAATAAAACCTGCGGTCACCGGAACAAGTGTCTGTGAAAACTGCCTGCCTGTCTAAAATGCACACATCTCGCCGAAGCCGGTTTGGCTCAGTGGATAGAGCGTCAGTCTGCGGACTGGAAGGTCCCAGGTTCGATTCCAGTCAAGGGCATGTACCTTGGTTGCGGGCACATCCCCGGTACGGGGTGTGCTGGAGGCAGCTGATCGATGTCTCTCTCTCTCATCGATGTTTCTAACTATCTCTCTTCCTCTCTATAAAAAAAAAAAAAATCAATAAAATATATATTTTTAGCCGAAGCCGGTTTGGCTCAGCGGTAGAGCGTCGGTCTGTGGACTGAAAGGTCCCAAGTTCGATTCCGGTCAAGGGCATGTACATTGGCTGCGGGCACATCCCCAGTGTGGGGTGTGCAAGAGGCAGCTGGTCGATGTTTCTCTCTCATCGACGTTTCTAACTCTCTCTCCATCTCCCTTCCTCTGTGTAAAAAATCAATAAAATATATTTTTAAAAAAAAAATAAAAAATATATATATTTTTAAAAAAACCAACATATAAAAAACCTACGATCACCAAAACAATTGTCTGTGAAAACTGCCTGCCTGTCTCTAAAATGCACATATCTTGCCAAAACCAGTTTGGCTCAGTGGATAGAGCGTCAGTCTGCGGACTGAAGGGTCCCAGGTTCGATTCCAGTCAAGGGCATGTACATTGGTTGCAGGCACATCCCTGTAGGGGGTGTGCAGGAGGCAGCTGGTCGATGTTTCTCTCTCATCGACATTTCTAGCTGTCTATCTCTCTCCCTTCCTCTCTGTGGAAAATCAATAATTTTTTTTTTTTTAATGCACACATCTTAAAAGCTGGCCAACGTGTTTTCAAC